CCAGGGGCTTTAGGAGCAAGGGATTCATGGCTTCTGCCCTCCTGGCTAAGGGTTGATAAAGGTTTGGTGTAAAGAATAAAACAAAGCAAAACAAAAACAGGCACCTTCTCTTTCATGAAGTCCCTCTCTTTCTGGATCTTTCGAGAATCAGCTAAGCATTACCAAAGGCTCTGCTTTGTGTGCTGATGACCCCAGCTATGAAATGGAGAGAGACCTGCATCACGTCTTACTAATGAAGCCCTTCCTCGGTCTGGGCAAAATACTCTAAATGCTACAGGTGCCCAACTAAGTGGATGCTTAGAAGTGCAATTAGAAGTGGATCCTTGTAGCACTCTGGGGACTTATCTGACATGCCCAGCATTTCCGATTCCTGCCTGATCCCTGGACTCTGCACAGTCGGCGCTTCTGTGAGTTGAAGATGTGAGGGCTGAGGCTGGATGGGACTCAGTAGGACTTGTTTTGCCCCTGAGTGAAGCGTATCGCGCTTACGATATCGCGTGGCGCTGGCAGGCAGACAGGTTTCGCTGCGCTCGGTTGCCTGGTGTAGGATGACTCATGGGGAAATCCAAGCCAGACAGCATTAGGAAACTATACACTAGCAAAGTCCTTGGGTGCAGGCTCTGTGGTCCTAACTCAAAGAACCCAATTCCATCAAGTCAGTTCTGACTCAAGTTCCACAGTGGAACTGTTCCTTAGGGTTTTCTTGGCTGTAATCTTAAAAAAAAAATGTTGTTGTGTTTTCAGTGAAGGGGACAATCGAGTGTAGCACATGTTAGGTATGTTGGCTGGGTTGTGTCTAGTCGTTACTATCCCCTGCCATGTAAATGTTGACATTTCGGTTCGAGAAACAGCCTCAGAGATTTAAGTCACTTGCTCCAGGGCATCTGCTTAATAAATGGTGTGTTCTAAATAGGGAGCCCTGATGGCGCAGTGGGTTATGGGTCTGCTAACCACAGGTCAGTTATATAAGCCCAGCAGCCGCTCTGCAAGAGAAAGATGAGACTTTCTGCTCCCATTCGAGTCACAGACTCAGAAACCCAGAGACGTTTCCCTCTGTCCTACAGGTTCACTATGAGTCACAATTGATTGAGTGGTAGAGAGTGTGGTACTAGAAATATTCAATTATTCTGAAACCCAAAATGGATCTGTCAGAATTCAAACGCTTTTGTTAAAATGAAAATGCTCCGGTCTTGTTGTAAGAAGACATGATTCGCCTGTGCACAGGGACGCTTAAAGGAAAAGTTAGAATTTTTCTTATAAAAAAAGGCATGGAGTCAACCTCACATCTGAAACATTTCACATGAATTACCCATTGAGGTCTATATATTAAAATGTATTCTGAAATGTATACTGCATTTGAAGAAGGAAATTTAGATCTTCAAAAGATTTATGAAAACTGCTATGAAGCCTTATGTGCTCGCATGAGTGGCCTAGAGAAACAAATTCAGAGGCACTCGTGTATAAGAAAGAGCTTTATATCAGAGTAATTGTATATTAAGAAAACATCCCAGCCTAGTTCAGATCAAGTCCATAAGTCTGATATTAACCCATATACCAATAGCAATCTATAAATTCCTCTTCAGACTCATGCAACACATGCAATGATGCCAAATTCAGGAAGATCCCAGGCCAGTGGATGGAAAGTCTTGTACATCCAATGGTGGTAGAAGCATCTCAGCACTGGCAGAGGTCTCCACACGGTCTTCAGCTCGAGGGCCTTGGTTCCATCAGTGTAGCTCCATGTGGCTGGTCAACAGAAATGTGTAGCTGAGAGAGAGGGTGTCTGGCCTCCAGTGAGCTGTTTATCTCTGGCACACCTCCAAAATGAGGCCATCAAGCTGCTAGACTCCACCCCTTCTTCCACTTGACAATAGATTATGTAACTGCCTCACCTTACATGTCTGACACTTTTTAAGTTGCCCTCACACCTTCCATATATGTGTCTTTTCAATTTTCTTTTTTATTTTCCATTCTTCTCAAACTGTACTTCAGCTGTGCAGTGTTCGACTTGTAGCCTCTGTGTATAATGCACAGCTTTTCAGACCAAAAGGAAACATCTACTGCCATCTAATCAGTTCAGAAAACTGCCCCGTTGGATTTCCAAACCTTTCTGCCTTTTAAAGGCTGCAGACTGACTGGTGGGTTCAAACCACTAACATTATTATTGGCAGCTCACTGCCTAACCAACTATCCACCATGGGACCATACACAGCTTTCCTTAGAAGTCACTTAATACAAAAGGTAATAATTCCTCTTACCTTTTTGGTATTATTCTATAATTCGTGGATCTTAGTTCATCTCATTTAAAACTAATATGATAAATTAGTATAACTTAATAGCTGAAATGGAGTAGAACACCTTATCTAAATGACTGCATATTCAATGTAGTTTTCTGAATCAGTGCTCCAAATAACCTCAGGGGCAGGCCTAAACACCAAGAAACCAAGATAAACACTTTTGTTGTTGTTGAGATATGGATTGAACAAAATGATGGGGTGACTTACAGTAGATGAGGATGCAGGGTAATTCTCCATGCCCCTTGGATCCCCAAGAGTACCCCTCATCCATGATTCCCTAGGAGAACTCAAGGTGCCTTGTTGGCACAGTGGTTATGCATTGGGCTGCTAACCACAAGGTCAGCAGTTTGGAGCCACCAGCCCGCTCTGTGGGACAAACATGAGGCTTTCTACTCCCGTGAAGATTTACAGTCTCAGACATTCCCTGGGCCAGTTCTACCTTGCCTGTAGGGTGGTTATGACTCAGAATTCACCCAATGGCAGAGAGTCTGGCTTGTTTGTTTGCTTTCAGGAGGACTTGTGGGACTCAGCATATGGCCACACTGGCGGCTATAATTGGTTACAATGAAAGGATGTGGTGCAAACTCAGGGAAAGGCACACGGGGTGAGTCAGAGGAGACCAGGCACCAGCTTCCAAGAGTCCTTTTCCAGGGGAGCCACACCAAAGGCGCTTAGTTTCTCTGAGTCATGACAACACGTGTGAAATGCTGTCTACTGGGGAAGCTCATTAAGAAGCCATGGTGGCCTTGTTAGGTAAGCGCTGGACTGCTAACTGCAAGATTGGAGGCTTAGACCCACTAGATACTCCGTGGGAGGAAGTTGAGGCTGGTTTCTTCCTTAAAGATTTAACAGTCTTGGAAAACTTATAGAGGCTTACTGTGAGTCAGGATCGACTCAGTGGCAGTGGGTTTGGGTTTAGGCGTAGGGAAGTGTGGCAGTGATATAATCTCCTGTCAACTTGAGCAAAGGGGTGGAGTTAAACTGTCAATCAGGTTGCGGCCTGATGACCACATTTGGAGGTGCAACGGAGATAAATAGCTCACTGGAGGCCAGACCCATCTCTCTGCCTTCCCTTTCCTACTGTTGAGACACTCAGAGAGCTGGAGGAGACACGCGGAGACCTGTGCCAGCGTCCACTGCCACTAGGTCCACAAAACCTTCCACCCACTGGCTGTGTGCTCTTCCTGCATTCGGTATCAGTGCATGTGCTACCTGAGTCTAAGAAGAATTTATGGCCTGGTATCAGACATATGGGCTAGTATCAGACTTATGGACTCCATTTGGACTGGGTTGGGATGTTTTCTCAATATAAAATTAATCTTTGATATAAAGTTTTCTCTTGCACACACGCGAGTCTCCCTAGATTTGGTTCTCTAGTCTACCCGGACGAACACAGGAAGTTTACTAGAGACTTGGTGCCCAGGGTTTTTATTGGGGCTGGTAATGGAGGTAGCCCCTGTGTAACAGGCACCAACACTACAGACTCCCAGGCAAGCAACTTGTCAGCATAAACCACTTGTCTTGTATAAGCAGCTAAGGCACATTGAGTCATTCTTACCAGAGAACAGGGGGGACCTTCTGGAAAATCCAAGTACCCAGAGCCCAGACAATGCTTACTAGCAGCTCTTTCTAGGGCTCACAGCCTCAGGTCCACCATAGTAATTCTTTCTGCATTTTCTCTTGCCCCACATGATTCACTGTTCCAGACTTCGGGCTCCTGCCAGGATTCCTCCTTGCACCTGCCGGCCCGTCAGACAAACTGAATTTAGTCTTACCTGGCCTTTGCAAAGTTTAGGGAAAGAAGTTGGTTGCTGTTATGTTTGGAGCGTGGGATTTGAAAGGTCTGTAGCCATGGGTGCCTCTGGTTCTGCCGCCCACACCTTTCTCAGGGTCAGCGAGGTGCCCTGTGGCCCAGCAGGGAGACTGGGGCGGGGCATTCTTTATACTCCCGGTGCCAGCTCCTGGCTCCTGACATTGTGTGATTTTCCCCTTAGCGTTACCTGCTTAAATATCAATTAGCTGACAGCCACGAACAGCACACAAGTAGCCACACAGTAAACCCACTGTACCAAGAATGGAATTGGTACAGCGTCTCTGTGCTTTCCCTTCTGCAAACAGAGGGTGTCAACCTTCCTCGGCTTTGGGGCACACTCCCCAGGAGTGACTTCACCCCTGCCTGGTCTCCCGGGCGAACTTCCAAGCACACAGTCTAGTCTCACCTCTGTGCTGTTCAACAGAGCCACTTCCTTGGCTTTGGTCTCTGCTTGCACCGAACTGGAGGGGATGCAAGGAGGCCCCTGGCTCCCATCTAGTCCTCGGTGCCTGCTGTTCGCACCCATCTCGACTCTTGGAGCCTGTGTCTGTTCCTCACTGCAGGTTCACTTAACCCAGGAAATTCATAGCCTAGCCCCTCCCTTCTCTCCCGCTCCCCCTTCCTTCCCCTAGCCCCCACGTATGGGACTCTAAGGCCCATTGACGCGTAAACCAGGCAAACAATGTTATGATGGTGCAGGCCAACCCTGGTCTTCAGGAGGCCCTTGCAGAGAAGAGGACACATAGCTGTCCATACTTGCTGGCAGTGCCCCAGCATTCTTCACGCCGAGTCTCTCTCCTCTCCCTCTCTCAGTGCGGCCATCAATGGGACGGGCGAGTTTATTCTGTGTGTGTTTACTTTCATTTTTATTCCCCCCACACACTCTTTAGCAACTTACATCGATGAAGATGAAAATGAAGTACTTGAATTATCATCGAACAAAACGTTCTTGGTCAGGCTCAAGATTCCTGAGGAGTGCGTTACAGAAGAACTGTGTGATCAACTCACTAAAAGGGTAATTACGCCTGATGCCTTGTTTGCTGAGTGTGTGCATTCTAGTAGAGCGAGCAGTTAGCCGAGAGCAGTGTTTCCCAGAGTAGGCAATACAGGGAGGTGGGGGCTGTAGTGGATTGATGGAGGTGGGTGTTGCTGCCAAAATAGGTGCCTACACTTTATCCTGGATTGTGGGCTCTTGGTCAAATGTTACTAATTACCAGCATTCTTTTTTTTCTTTCTCTTTCTGAAAAAGGGGGTGTGGTAGTCCAGCTATGTTTGGGAACCAATAACCTAGAATTATATATCAAATAGCTTCCATCCTGGTTAGGATGGAATGCTTAGCAGAAATAAATATTTAGACTTCTGTTGACTGATGTGTGTCCAGAGCTGGTGACAGTGTTACGGTCCTCATATTGGGCTTAATTTTGCTTTGTATTGTGGTTCTTGGTGGGTCTTGGGTGTGATAAGAAGTGCACTAAGTTAAGGGACATAAAGTCTTTGTTCCAGAAGCCATTAAAAACAGTGCGACATACACACAACATGTTACTCAGGTCCTGAGGAATCTCAAAAGTACCTGAGGTGGAGCCGGAGGCCTGGAGATCCCCCTGGAAGAGGTGATGCTCAGAAGGAGTCTTGAAAGAGGAGAGAGGAGTGTTGTAGATAAAAAGACAGCATTCAGGGATCTGTCTAGGGCAGTGGTTTTCAACCTTCCTCATGCCCCGACCCTTTCATACAGTTCCTCATGTGGTGACTCCCAACCATAACATTATTTTCGTTGCTACTTCATCACTGTCATTTTGCTACTGTTGTGAATTGTCATGCAAATATCTGATATGCAGGATGTATTTTCATTGTTACAAATTGAACATAATTACAGCATAGTGACTCATCACAAAAATAATATGTAATCATAGATTGTGAAATATTTATTTCTAATTACAAATAAATGAAATTTTGTCTTGAAGCATGGTGTAGCATGGGTAGCAGTCTTCATGCTAGGTGCTCGTATGTGGGTGTATCTGCATGTGGGCTGACCTGGAGACAGATAGAGGAGCGGTGTCTTGGTTCCTAAAACCATTGGAAATATGTGCTTTCTGATGGTTTTAGGTGACCCCTGTGAAAGGGTCGTTCGACCCCTAAAGGTGTTGCAACCCATAGGTTGAGAGCCTCTGGTCTAGGGTATGGTTGGGCCTTGCAGAAGTTCAGGGTGAAGGTAGGGGGCAGATCATTAAGGATATCCTACTCTTTGGAAACTGGAGAAATCAAAACAACAGAAACCACTACAGAAAACCAAACCAACTGCCATCCAGTCCATTGGAATTCATTGGTGCCCTTTGGGGTAGAACTGCCCCTGTGGGTTTCTGAGATGACAACTAGTTATGGGAATGTAAAGCCTGGTATTTCCCATTGGGAATGTTTGGTGGTTTCAAACTGCTGACCTTTAGGTTAGAATCCCACTGTATAACCACTATGCCACTAGGGTTTGGGGGTGCTAAGTGCTAACCTGAGAAGTAGAGCTCTGGCCAAAATAAAAAATCAGACATGAGCACATCTCCAGGTGTTTCTTTGTCTTGTCACTGTGTGTTGACAAGAGAACAGAGACTGCCAGTGACACCAGAGGTGAATGCCATCCCCTTTTCAGCTCTTTCTCTGGTAATGGACGTAGCTCTGAACTTTAGAGGAAAATGGAAAGGAGACTTGCTCTTAGTCACAGGATAACTGATGCAAATGCAAAAAATGATGATGTCAAAGAGCCGAACAGAAACTTTCAAAGGGCAGTGGAAGAAGACAAACTTAAGTATCACAATGAAATGTGCAAAGACCTTCAGATAGAAAACCCAAACCAAACCCCAAAGCCGAACCTTCAGCTCAGAAACCAGGCACCTTAAACTGACCGAACTGAAGAAAAAATTCAAGTCTCGAGTTTCAATAGTGAAAGATTCTGTGGGCAAAATACTGAATGCTGCAGGAAACACCAAATACAGATGGAAAGAATTCACAGGCACTGTACCAAGAATTCATAGACACTCAACCATTTCAAGAGGAAGTACACGACTAAGGCTCGTGGTACTGAAGGAAGAAGTACAATTTGCACTGAATACATTTGCCATAAGTAAGACTCCATTGGTATTCAATGGAGTGCCAATTGAAATGCTTCACCAACAAACTATGGATAGGTTTGAGATCTGGAATTCCAAATCACTGAATTGTGCTCATGCTGAAGAGGCAGTTGTGTGAACAGAACAAGGGAACACGGCATGGCTTCAGATCCGGACAGGTGTGTGTCAGGGCTGCATGCTCTCGCCATACGTCTTCGATCTGTATGCTGAGTGAATCATCAGAGAAGCCGGATTCTATGAAGAAGAACGAGGCATCAGGATTGGAGGAAGGCTTATTAACAACCTGCCGTACGCAGCGGACACAACCTTGCTTGCTGAAAGCAAGGAGGACTTGAAGTGCATACTGTTGAAGATCAAAGAGTGTAGCCTTCAGGATGGATGACAAATCGACGTAAAGAAGAGCACATTCCTCACATCGGAGAAAAAGAGAAATGGTTGAAATTGTCAAGGATTGTATCATGCTTGGACCCACAATCGATGTTTCTGGAAGCAGCACTCAAAAGACCAAAAGGCACATTAGGTAAATGTGCTGCACAAGGTCTCTTTAGAGAATTGAAAAGCAAGGATGTTACTTTGATGACGAGGTGTGCGCAGTGCAAGCCATGATTTTTCCTATCGCCTCATATGCTTTTGAACGTTGGACACCGATAAGGAAGATTGAAGAAGGAACGATGTATTTGAATTATAGTGCTGGTGAACAACAGCGGTAGTGCCACGGGTGGCCAGAAGAGCAAACAGTTCGTGTTGCAAGTGCAACCAGAGCAATCCTTAGAGGCAGAGATGGTAAGAGGTCATCTCAAGGACTTTGGACTTGTCAGGAGAGACCAGTCATGACCTGTCAGAAGGACATCCTGCTTGGTAACATAGTGCAGGGCAGCCACAAAGAGGAAGACCCTCAACAAGATGGATTGTCATGGCGTCGGCAACAAGGGGCTCCACCATGAACCGATTGTGAGGATGGAGGGCACCGTCCCAGGTATGGCTTCATCCTGTTGTCCTAAGGTTGCTCTGCGTGGGAACCGATTCTAGGGCACCGGACAACAGGAGTCAGTATCGATGGGATGGCCGTGAATTCGGTTTGGGGTGTGAGTGAGCACGTGGCTGGGACTCTGTATGGAAAATGCCCACGCTGGCTTCCATATGATGGTGACTTCCGGGGAGGGAGGGGAAGGAAATGGAAGCGCCTCTGGGTGTAGTTTTCACTTTATTCTGTTTCTTAAAGAACTGAACTAATTATGACAAATGGGAAGGGAGGCCATGCAGGTACGGAGGACACCGATGTCATTGCTTTCATGCTGACCCATACACACAAACCCGCCAGATCTTTGCAGGTGAGGCCCAGCCCCAATGGGTCCCCTCCTCCAGAGGAAAGCAGACCTGCTCATCATGGCGGGGCTGCCAGATAACCTGTGCCACGAGCGCCCCCTGGCAGCCACTCTGGGATTCACTCCAGTTGCCACCCATCTCACCCGTTAGGCCACAACATATTGATGCAATGTACACGACATTGACAAGTCTCAGCGCTTGGTCCCAGGTAGATTCTTCTGCATGAGTGTTAACTTGATTTCAGGTTTCTGGTAGACTTTGGATACAGAGCCTGTGGCTAAGTAGGTCCCTCGCTCCGATAGTCTCTTCGTCTAAGAGTAGGTTTGCTTGTCCAGGTGACAGGGCGTGGGCGCCGTCAGTAATGCGCACGTGTTTGATTGGCTGCTGTCTGTTTTAGCTCACAGATGTGTACAGCTCGTCGCCAGCGCTGAGTCGTTATTTTATGTCAGTTGAAATCATGGATTTCAGGTAAGAACGGGGAGCAGTTCACACGGGTTTACTTGTTCCCCAAGAGGACCTCCTGGCCCCTCAGAGCACTTACTTATCTAGTGCCACTGTGCCAGATGCAACACGCGATGGTGGCTTTACCAAACTGAAGTGCATTTTCTCTCAGTTGAGGAGGTTGGAGGTCTGAAGACAGCTCTAGATCACAGGTTCTCAACCTTCCTCAAGCCGCGACCCTTGAATACAGTTCCTCATGTGGTGGTGACCCCCCCACCATAAAATTATTTTCATTGCTACTTCATAACTGTCATTTTGCGACTGTTATGAATTGGGCGACCCCTATGAAAGGGTTGTTTGACCCCCAAAGGGGTCTCGACCCACAGTTGAGAACCGCTGCTCTAGGGGAAGGCTTCCCCACTCTTCTCCTCTGGGGAAAGTTCTTGTTCCTTGGTTCCTTGGGGAACGAACGTCATGTGGGGTGGCATCTCATTCTGTGCTCGCTTCTCGGCCCCCATCTGCTCTTTTTAATATCTCAAAGGGGATTGGCCCAAGCATGCCCTCCATGGATACAGCCTCTGAACATAACACACATCACAGAGAAATCCCCGTCCCACATGGGATTATAACCACAGGTGTAGGTGTTAGAAATTGCAACACTTATTTTGGGGGAGGGAGGGGACATAATTAATTCATGGACACCAATAAGAGAATCAGAGTGTTTTGGGAGACCAACTTGCTGACCTCACTTGCTGCCCAAATGAGACACGTGCACTTGAGATTCATTATATGATCCAGTCAAGGTCACACGGAAGAGAAGATTACACCTGCTTTGGCCAAGCATCCCTTTTAAAAGCAGATACCCAACTAAGCCAAGGGAAGAGAGAGAACTAGTTCTCAGATAATAACCCCAAACTGACCAGACTGACTGCCATCAAATGCATGCTGACTGATAGCGCGTTCGAAGGACAAGGTAGAACTGCCCTTGTGGGTTTCCCAGGGTCAACCGACAGACCAGCTGGTGAGTGAGCAGCCTGACATGTAAGGTACTGCACCCGGCTCCCAGGCTCCTTCTCAGAGAACGACAGAAGCCGTGCACTGGCTTTTGCTTTTGAGGAACACGGTCATATAGGTCACTCTCTTATATTTTATTACAAATATGAAGAGATAGACTACCAAAAATTGTACATGGAAACGTTTTATTCACTACTGATCCTATGATATACCCCAGTTTCTGATGCTTGAACCCAGCAGATCAGAGGCTGCTGATGGATACACATTGATCTATTTTAAATTTGTTCCAGTTTTTAATATTGCCTGCTTTCTTTTTCTCTATTGAGGTTTTCCTCTGTCCTTGCTGTCTGTTTTGCTTAGTTTAAAAATGTTTTCCTGTACGTGAAATTTCAGATGGGTAAATCTAGAGAGACAGTAACTGGGTTAATGGTTTCTGGAGGGCATGGCAAGGGAGGGCAGGGGGTGGGGATGGAGGGCTGACATCGATGAGTACAAGAATGAAGAAGAGATTCTAAAACATTGTGGTGATGACTGTACAACTTTGCTGGATGTGATTGAATTATGACATTGTATGATGTGCTGATAAAACGGTTTACGAAAAAAGACAGTGTAACATATGACAAAATAATAATAATATATGAATTATGAAGGGTTCATGAAGGAGGGGGGAGTGGGGAGGGAAGGGAAAAATGAGGAGCCGATATTAAGGGCTCAAGTGGAAGGCAAATGTTTTGAGAATGATGATGGCAACAAATGTACAGATGTGCTTGACCCAATGGCTGGATGGATGGATTGTGATAAGAATTGTTCGAGCCCCCAATAAAATGATTAAACAAAAAAGCCCAAGCAAAGTTCTTAAATGTTGAGTTGAGAAACAAACCATCTGTGTGCTGCCACACATGGGCCAGAGACAGGCAGGCAAGTCTCCATGATACATGGCAAACCTCAGGCCGGACTGGCCCAGCTGGAACCTGGACAAATGTGTTGGCTCGTAGGCTGCTGGACCTGCTCCAGTGGCGGGCAGCTGCGGGGCAGCCTCCAGGCGCACTGCTTCCCTGATGGGAAGCCACCCCAGTGAACTGGCAGGCTGGGCGAGCCTGGGCTTGCAGGTCAGTCAGGAACCCTGTGTCTCTCACTCTGCCCCTGTGTCTCTCACTCTGCCCCAGCTGCTGGGGATTTCCGTCAGCCCAGCCCCCGTCCCGGCTTGAGGGCCTGCCGGTGGCTGCTGTAAGGTAGTGACCATCATTTATGTAACTTCGAGGGGAGAGCCAAGGGAACAATAAGGACACTGGGGTCACCAGGGAACAATAAAGATATATCGGGTCGCTAGATTAGAGTTAGAAACTGCCATTTCCAACCTGCCTGTAGTACTTAAGATTTGCATAGTCGAGAATGTGAGTCCAGGGAGTATACTCGTATTATTCATTTGAATTATTATTCATTTCAATTCCAATGAATTCTGATTCATGACGACCCTGTCCATGTGTGTGAGGCTAGCACTGGATTCCGTGGGGTAAACAATGGCTGATTTGGAAGAAATACGTCTCCGGGCCTTTGTTCCATGACATGGCTCCCACCTTTGGGTTAACAGCTGACTGCATTAACTGTTTGCACTGCCCGGAGAGTCCCCTTGGCCCTACTAAATCCAAGACCTAAAAACAAATCCAGTTATCAGGTCAACTCATCACTATAAGTCTAATTCATAGTGACTCTGTACTATAGAGTCTGTACTATAGTCTGTAGGATAATGTAGAACATAGAACAGCTCCATAGGGTTTCCAACAATGTAAGTCTTTACAAAAGCAGGCTGCCTCATTTCTCCTACAGAGCAGCTGGTGGGTTCAAACCACCAACCTTTCTTGCACTTAACAGCTCAAGTCTTAACTCACAGCTCAGCCAGGAGTCCCTGGCCCTGCTTAGAGTTTGAGAATAGACAGCCACAAGGGGGAGTGCTTTAGCTGTCTACCGTAGGAACAAAAGTACATAAAAGTTAGCCTTGGGTCCCACGTGTGGCCACTTGTTAATTACTTTATTGCTAGATCTTAACTGGGCTGTCATGAAGCACAGTAATAGGGTGCCTAGAAAGGTAGAGTATTGAGGTACCGTGTAACTAGTGAGATAAGCTTCTAATTAACGAGGGCAGCTGTATGATTGCTTTTTATTGGAAATGGGAAAGCGAAGTTCTAGGGAGATGAAGTTCCATTTCCTTAGGTTCCCTTATAGGGATTTACACAGCTTAGCCTGCCTGTTTTAGGGACCGTGGGAGCTGGAAGTGGGACAGAAAAAGTTTCTCACTTATGGGATACGCAAGGGGGCGTCGTTTGAGACTGGTGGACAGGGTGGTCTGTGGGACTTGGAGTTCAGGGTTTTGGACTCAGCCAGTGGTAAGGCTCATGTTCAAAGTTCAAATAAAGGCCTGGTCCAATGAGTAGCTGTGGCACACATGTGCAGAGCCAGGCAGGGGGACAGTGTGGAGAAGGGGATGTGTGAGCCCCCCAGGGCAGGTTTTCCTGGCTTACCTCAGGGGAGAAAAAGTAAGAAAGGCTGAGGAAGACAGTGTGTGTGCCAAGCCTTGGGTCTTCAAGGACAATAGCTGGGCCCCTCTCTTCCTTCGATACCACTGCAATGGCCACCTGACAGATACTGGGTGGAAGGAGCAGGCTAGTGTTACAGGAATTCAGGCTTCTATCTTACCGAGAGAAAGATTTACTGTTAGGAGAATAAAGGTGTGGCAAAAGAATTTTAAGAGACTCCTAAGGAGGAAGAAATCCTTCATAGCCAATATAGCTGGTCTAGGTATTTCTTATTTCCCGCATGCATGCTCAGCCTTTTAAAGGTCCAGAGCATACACATTCTTGGGAAAGTCCATGGGGAGGGTAGGGGGAGTGGGTAGCAAAGGGTGCAGGGACATGTAGTCTATGCATGTTCTGTCCAAATTTCCACTTTTCCTCCCCTGCCCTGTCTCCTGAGGACGAACACCAACTGCGGGGGAGAATTGGAGGCCAGCACCCTCTGCTGTGTTGTACTGAAAGTACAAGCTTCACCTGTTAACTTTGCTGTGCTGCTATGTTGACTCCGCTGATGCATTTTCCTGTGTGTGGTTTGCCTTCCAGGGGAGACAATGCCACCGTCACTTACCACCTGCAATTTGGGGTTCCGTCGGAAGACGACGGTTTCATGAAGTACATGATGAGCGAAGAGCTGGTGCTGGGTATTTTGCAACAAGATTTCCATGATCGGAACTTACCTGGTTGTGAGACTCTGGGGCTTGATCCAGCATCCTTCTCGTTCTCTGGTAAGCAGGGCGAGGAGCCAACAGCCATGTCTACAGACGCGTGAATCGGATTCGGGGACAACCATGGCTGGGTGCTGTGTCCACCGGCTGATGTGTTTCTTGGCCCAGGTGTTTGCGTGTGAGGGTGAAACTCCAGGCTCTGCGAGGGTTTCACTGCCCCTGAACCTTCAACCAGGCTGTGTAGTTGGAAAATAAATCGTGGGAGCAGTCATGAGAGTGTTTGCATGAAGCTTGTGAGAGCATTCCTGGTGGCAAAGAGCCCACATCTTAAAGCTTGTTCACGCATGTTAACAGCCCTCACGGAAGCACTGTAGTTTCATAAGAGATTGAATGTAGGAGTTGGAACAAAGGGGGAGGGTAGCTACATGTTGAGCGGTTTATGTCAAGATGAAGAAATTCTTAGTTTACTTTTTTCCTGTTGAATCAGGCCACTGAGTTCATTCATAAAGTAATGATGCTGCTGGAGACGTTGCACTGATCAGGACACACAGTGGCCCCAAGAGACAGAGCAGAACTGCCCCATAAAGTTTTTCAGGCTGCAATCCTAAAGGGAACAGAGTCTTTGCCTCACGGAGCCACTGAACGGTTTTGAACTGCCAGCCTTGTGGTGAACAGCTGAACGGGACATAAAAAAGGCAAATGGATTGGTTTCCTTAACAAACCGGTTGACTCATCTACTTTTAAAATTAAGCACCGAACAGGGAAATTGATATTTTGTTGAATTCATATGGCAGACCTGAGTTCCCGAGAGTTTTAACAAAGCCCCAAACTGTGCTCTGAGGCAGGTAGGGAGGTGGAGTGACTCGGAGCCTTGGCAATGCATTGGCCCCGCAGCTTTGCTGAACAATTCCTGGTTTTCACCTCTGATTCCTCCCTTGGGGACACATCAGCTCGTGCTTAGCCCCTGATGCCGGTGTTCTTGGACATTTTATGTTCTCATGCACAGTACATTCGAAACATTCTTGGGTACATTCGTAATTGAATGCATGGAAGCAGCCAACTGAAAGGGCATGTGCTTAGCAGCAGGCAGGGTGGCAGCCGCCGAGATTCAGAAAAGAAGCACTGAGGTCATAAAGCGGAGATGTGTCACTCTGTAGTCCGAGAACAGGTTGATGGGGATGACACTTATCTTGCGATCAGAGGAGGGGAAAGGAGATACATCGAAATAATGACATTCAGAAGGTCAAATGTTAGTTAAGTGGGGATGTTTTAAGGAGCCCGGGTGGCACTGTGGGTTAGGCACTGTGCTGCTAACCACAAGGTCAGCTGTTCAAACCCACTCACTGCTCTGGGTGAGAAAGGTGAAGCTGCCTGCTCTCACATGGCTTTAGGTCTTGGCAACCCTACGGAGCAGTCCTGCCTTGTCCTATAGGGTAGAACCATGAGTTGGAATTAATTTGATGGCCATGGAGTTTAGAGAAGTCACCTTTAAGAATAGTTAAATTTCAGAGCATCGTGAACAGCCTAAGTGATGTAAATTCTTAGCACGCTCGGCTGCTATGCAAAGGTTACTGGTTTGAGTCTACTCAGAGGTGCTTTGGAAGAGAGACTTGATGGGCTTCTTCCAAAAAGTCAGCTAGGAACTCCCCCTACTTGGACACATGCGACCACCGGGGAGTGGATTTGGTCTGAAAGTCACTGGTTGGGTTAGGGGTTGGGGCTTGTGGGCCAGGCACACAATATACATATGTGGCCTCATTCTTGACAAAATTTTGATAACGGAAAATTGGTTGGTGGAAGGTCAACCCTGCATGTGAAAGGTTTCACTATAGATCAATCAGTAAGCACATGTCAGCCCAGGCTTTCCCTATTGATTGGTGATTCATCCCTGGAAGCTCCTAGTTCTGCCAGCAAGCCTCCTGCCTAGACTCAGCTCTCTCACGCCATGCTTCTTGGCTCAGCAGGCCTACTACTGTAGCCACCTTGCTCCCTGGGCGAGGAAGCGTGCCTTGCCCCTGCCATGGCATCTGCTGCTGGTCTCCTGGTTCCACTGCTGCTGTATCTCTGCCCTGTTTGCTATGCTTCCTGCGGTCGGGTGATAGAGCACTAGCCCTGTCTCCTGGGTCTAGGAGGTGCCTAATGCATTCTGCTCCCAGCTTTTCTTTTTGATAGGAGTTAGGTCCCCTCTCTTGCCTCAGGGAAAGCCTACTGGGATGGCAGGAAGGACCAATCTCCTTATTAGATTCTTGACACCTTACTTGCAGTGTCCTCCCCCCACCCCACAAGGTTCTGTGCACCACATTTGCATGATTAGCAGGCACTCTAATCCCCTGGGTGGTTTACAAATTCTTTCTTTGATAGTCCCAGCTAGTCATTTTGTGTGAGAGTTTCAATATTGTGAGACCACTAGTGTAAAATGCCAAGAAAGTATGTGTGTGTGTGTGTGTATGTTCATACTAAAGGAAACATTCTTTGATGGTGTTACCTGGGGTGGGAGTGGACATTCCTGTCTAGAGAATAATTAAGTATTCCCTTGGGTGAAGGAGAAGGCGATATACTGCGGAAGGGAGCTTGGCCCCAAACAATAACAAAACAAAACAAAAACAGCTGCAGGGGAAGACGTTGGGAGGTTGGCAAGAATGAAAGGCAACAGGTAAATCCTGTCTGCACACGGTCTTGCAGTACTGGTGGTCTGTGAGCACAGGGCTTGGATAGACACAGGGACTGAACAGGTGTGGGAGGGAGAAAGGGAGTGCATCTAGGTTTGAAAGAGGTTTAACACACACACACACACACACACATGCACACACACAATAAATGTCATTTGCCTTTTGAAAAGTGTTCCAAGTTGTCTCTTTCTGTCTGTGTTGATTGAAGCATAAACTTTCTGTTAGGAATTTACATGAAAAACATGCTGCTTTTCCATAAGGGCTATAGTCAAGCCCACTGAAATGGAATACAAAGTTAAATGTGTAGCATCAGCAGATTTTTATACCATAGGTGACGCTAGCCTGTCTGCATGTTCTTTTCAGAATGAAGCGTGTCGAAGCTGAGCTCCCCAGCACTGGCGATGAGGTCGATGCTGGCCATTGTACAGAGAGGACTGCGAATGATGGCAGAAGGACTTGCAATGGCTGGAAGACTAAGGATGGACCTTCCTCCCCTGATTTTGTACAAGGGGTGTTCTACCTCCACGTCTGACAAAATGGCACCTGAATGGTGCCCCATTTGGGTGCAAAACCAGAGGGGGACAGGGTCTATGGTGATTGGGCCGTGGGTCCCTGCTATCATTGAAACACTAGCTGCCTCCTCCCACACGGGGGCGCTTTCTCTCCTTTGTGAGCTGGTGCACTGGCCTGGCCGCTAACCTTCACTGCAGAGAGAGAACAGTACTCACAAAGCTCCCAGGGGCAGGAGCCTTGAGCCAGTTTCTCATTGAATCACCCCCACCCGCATCCTGTTCTAAGGAAGAGTGAGGAAGCACCATAGTCTGTCTGCTTCCATCTCCAAAGCTGGGCAGCCTAGCAAGCGAGTCGTAAGCACATCCACGTACGTTACCACGTGATAGACAATCGATAGAGATAGTGCCACCGGAATAAGAGATGTGCTTCTTACTTTCCAAGTTCACACTGTTCCTGTGACCTTGCGCACCTCTTGTTGGCTAGGAGTTCTAGTGTCCCGTTAGACAGTCACAGACACAGCTTAGCATTTGCCAGACATCCTACAGGGGGGGTTTGTGTTAACTGCCCTGTGTTAACTGTCTTTGGAGCTGTGGCTGGGTCCAGAACCCTTGATCTTTCGCTCAGCAGCCAAGCGTTTCGTGGCTGTGCTGCCCAGACGTAGACTTGCCTGCTCTGGGAGACACAGAGCACTGAGGTCATTGGGGACATTGTTTTGCGGGTCGTTTTTCAGGAGAACGTTTTGTGTTCATAGAAGGAAAGATTCCCAGCCCGAGTATTTCTGTTAAATTAGTTTTGGGGATGGGCAGGGATGGGGGGTTGGGGCAGTGGGAGAGGCAGCTGTGTGTCTGTATACGTCTCAGATTTGCTCTGAGATCTGTATGACAGGACTGTGGACAACATGACTTGGCTTTTATGCAACAAAAAGATTTATTGTGACTCACAGCTTAGTTTTAAAGACAGTCTCTGTGACTGGCGAATCGTTCTCCTCCTCCCTGTGTATTGTTTTACATGTTCAATGTGGCCTGTGGCGTATCTGTATTTTGTAAACGATAATGGAGGAGCATGACGGAGAATGAGTCAAGGACATCTGCTGTCACTTGTTCTGTGTGTTCACCGTCTCATTTATGTTTGCTTTAAGCGCGGTGACTTCCGGGGGCTGTGCTTGGCGATGCCATTTCCGGGAAGCCAATGATGTTGGGAGTGAGGTTTTCCTTGCCTCTCGCTTCGGACAGGAGGGCCAGCCTGGGCTGGGCTCGGTTCTCCACTCTCTTCCGCGAGAGACTCTGCATCTTCCATATTTTCCAAGGTCCCTCCCTCCAAAGCCCAAGCCCAAGCGCACTGCCCGGGTAGACGTGACCCTGTGGGTTTCCGAGAGGGTAGCACTTGATGGGAACAGAAAACCCGGACTTGGTTCTGCGGAGCAGCTGGCGGGTTCCAAGTGCTGGCTTTGCAGCTAGCAATCCAGTGTGTAATCGCCAGGACCCCAAGGCTCCTGCCAGGACCCTGGAGCTGGGCGGGAAGACCTGTTCTTAGTTACAGGCATAGCTTCATTTTGTTCCTCCTTTCTCTGCAGAAAAGATCGAAATCCAAGTACACGCACTCCCAACAGGGATGGTTCCGAAGACCAGATTGTTGTGCCAAATTGATCTTCAAGGAGGACTGAGAGGGGGGCGGGCGTATAGGAGATGGGAGAATCAGGGGTAAGGGAATAGAAGTGCAGGAGGGGATGGAGGAGAGAGAGAAGGCGGAGGAGGGCCTGTGAAGCCAAGCCCTCAGCATAGTTGGGAAGGACGGTTCCCTGGCCCTGCTGTGCTCTGGGCACATTGAGGTGGACCTGGAGCCTCGCCGCTGGACTAGGGGCCCATTTGGAGGTCTTAGGGTTCTAGCAGTGGGCAGGGCCTGTGGTTAAGGTGGTCAATGGGGGCCTGCTGGCTGTGCCCAAGCCCTTTGCAACTGTCCCTCCACAGCCACAACAACTTGCTGCACGGTGCTGCAGGATGGCCCTGAGCCTCAGTCACAAGTGAAACGCTGCAGCCCCCAGACCCCACGGCCAGGCCCGCTCCCTCCAGGGCCTTCGAGAATAGCAGCAGCAGCCTCCTCTGCCCCCACCTCTCTCTTGGCCTTTCTCGGAAGAGCTCCTTCAAAATCCACCCCGGTTACTTCATTCTCACAGAGCGCTGCAGCAGCAGGCAGCACCTGTGGTGGGGATGGGACCCATGAGACACTTGTAGGAGAGCTGGCTGCCTCAGCAGGGAGACTCAGAGACGTGGGTGGTCCTGTGGGCTGGGCGCTGGACCAGGGGCAGAAATGCAAGCTCACTGGCAAAAGAGTAGGTATGTTCACGATTGTCCTAAGTGGGAAAGGGCTGATAGGGAGATTGCTGGTCAGAGAGGTAGGGTACATGCTGCCTTCATGCAGGAAGCCAGCCACGGTGCATCAATCAAGCACTCCACTGCCAGCCAAGAGGCTGATAGTTCAAACCCACCAACAGCTCCTTAAGAGAGAGAGCTGGACATCTGCTAGTACAAAGATTAAGGTCCAGGACAACTCTTGGAGCAAGTCTACTCTGTCCTATGGGGTGGCTGGGAGTCAGAATCCCCCCGAAGCACTCAACAGCCAGCACCAGAATAACGGTCGCAATGCCAGGACCGTGCCATCCGGCCTGGGACCACTCGGCAGGTCGTGGAGAGGATGTGCACAGCACGGACTCCTCTGCCTCCGCAGTGTGGACAGAGCTGACCTTTGTGACGAAAGCCTTTTAGAGTTGTTCGGGCCGATGGTTGTTACGTGGGTACCGCTGCTGGGGTGTTGGCCGTCCCTCTTCGCAAAACCCGCTGCCCTTGAGCTGATGCCACTCACAGCGACGGAACAGGACAGGGCAGAACTCCCCCCTGTGAGGTTCTGAGATTGTAACTGCTTAGGCAAGTAGAAAGCCCCATCTTTCTCCCAAGGAGCATCTGGTGATTTCTAACTGCTGTCCCGGGGGATCGCAGCCCAACACATAACCACCACGCCACTGAGGCATCGTAAGAGGTCAACACAGACCTGGAACGATGGGACAACTTGGGAAGAAAAGCTGCTTGTTCCAACATGGGTGATAACCAATTGGATCTATGGGAGCAAAACTTACTCCTTTGAACAAAAATTCTGCCCAGAAGATCCATTGTTTTGCTTTCTAATTGAATCCTGTTCTCTGTCTACGTTCCATGCTGTGTTTTGCTGAAGGCTTTGGGACCAGAGACCAAAGGAATAAAAAAGCACAATGAGGAAAGAAGCTGCTCGTTATAGCAGGCAGGAGACAGCCGAACAAAACAAAGAGCCCATTAGTAGGCCACTGGAGATCCCCTTGCAGAGGGGTCTCGGGGAGGAGATGAGCCAGTCAGGGTGCGATGTAACAACGATGAGAAATACAACTTTCCTCTAGTTCCTAAATGTTTCCTCCCCGCTCCCACTACCATGACTCGAATTCGACCTTGCAAGCCTGGCTAGACCAGAGGATGTACACTGGTACAGATAGGAACTGAAAATACAGGGAATCCAGGGTGGATGAGCCCTACAGGACCAGTGGTGTGAGTGGCGAAACAGGGAGGGTAAAGGGAGAGTGGGTAGGAAAGAGGGAACCGATTACATGGAACTGTGTGTGACCTCCTCCCTGGGGGACAGACAACCGAAAAGTGGGTGAAGGGAGACGTCGGACAGGGCAAGATATGACAAAATACCAATTTATAAACTACCAAGGGCTCATGCGGAAGGGGGGAGCGGGGAGGGAGGGGGAAAATGAGGACCTAATGTCGGGGGTTTAAGTGGAGAGAAAATGTTTTGAGAATGATGTACAAATGCGCTTTACACAATTGATGTGTGTATGGATTGCGATAACAGTTGTATGAGCCCCTAATACAATGTTTAAAAAACAACAACAACAAACAAACAAAGAACCCCGTGGCATTCAGAAGAAATGAAGCCAAATCATAGGGCTGTGGCGGTCAGAGGCAAAGGAGGCCAGTATTGTTTATCTGGGAAAGGTTCTTCACACAGGGCTCCCGCTGAACCCCGAAAGCCTGGGGACTTGGACACATTTGTGTTCCTTTCCTCCTTGCGGTGAACTCTGGAGACGAACCTCTGTTCGAATCAGAGTCTGCCCAGTGCTGAGAAAAATGGGAGAATGCTGAAGTTTTCCTTCTCTGTTTTTCGTTATTGTTTCATAGCTTTAAAGTAGTTCACATCCAAAGTTACTGTGTCGATAGCAACTCCATCCACGAATACCCTTTATTCTTTTCCTAGATGGGCTCACAGTTGGGTGGAGTGACCAATGGCAAGCCCTAGAGTTCGTAGTGGTCAAGTCCAGCCTCCTGGGCCCCCGTGGACAATGTTGTTTGTGGATACCCGCCCCTCCACACTCAGCGTAGGCTTGGCTGACTGTGGGTGTCCACCTTGAAGAGTGGCCGGAGGGGAGGGGTGAGCTGTAAGGCTTGACCTCCAGCTCTAGGATTCTCTGGGAAGAACATCACTGAGCAATGTCTGGTTGGCTAACTGCTGTGCAAAAGGACCATCACCATGCCAACAGAGGTACCGATGAGCTCGACACAATGGAGGCATCTAGAGAGTGTGAGAAGAGCTGTAAGAGCCCCCAATAAAATGATTTCCAAAAAACAACAACAAAAAAGGGACCCTCCGTAAGAACTCCAGTGCACTGCCTTGAAGTCCGTTGCCACTCCTGGCCGTGCGTGGAGCGTGCTTTTCGTTCTCCACCGACCGATTTCACAGTTGGCAGGACCAAGGGAGACTCCGTCCAAGCAGCAGCAGACTGGACGAAGGAGGCCGACCTTGCAGAAGAGCGGAAGCAGACAAACACAAATAGAATCTCATTTCTTTTAAAGGGTCCAGTGAGGTTCCAAAATCAGTGTTCCCCCTTCGGCCCACGTCCTTCCATGATTCCCCTGACTATTCGAAGCGCTTGTCATGCCTGTAAGCCCTGAAGAGATAACATTTGAACATGGTAGGTTTTCTCTGACCTGCATCTGCCCTCTCCTTATGTTCATCTGTTCTAAATAAGAATGTGTTTGCAGAACAAGGGGTTATTTATAGATGTGAGTGCGGGTGGGGACGGGAAACCAC